GTGTTGGGACATTCTTTTGAACAGTGGTTGCTTTGCATATTTGATAATGTTTTGAACTTTTAAAATACTGCATGATAGAACCAGAAGCTGCTCTTCATATTAGTGACAGACTTTTTTTTTGCCTTCATACGTTTTTGCTTCTACTTTTCATTTAAAATAAGTTTCCATTCTCAGCAGGTTTCTAAGGTTCTTCTTCTACATATTAAAAAGTTGTTAAACATCTGAGTGGTGCACTACTGCTACTAGTGGTGAGAAAGTGTATTGCACCTTATTTAAAATCAATGTGGTCCCTCGGCCCTCTGCGGCCCAAAGTTAAAAACTGTTGTTCTTTTGAGGCCCTCAAGGTGGTGCTCACGGCCCAAAAATGGGCTGCGACCCATAGGTTAAGAATCTCTGATCTCGACCAGGGACGTCAAACTTATTGTCACTGAGGACCACGAGTGTTATGGTGGCCCTCAACGGGTCAGCTGTTATTACCTTCAACTAAACAAGAAATGTTGCTCGTCTCATTGCTATGGCTGAGCGCCTCTAACACACACTAACTGAGCTCTACCTGGTGTTTCCTACATAGAAACAGCATTTTAACATGTCCTCTTATAAACATTGAAAAATACTACGTTTACAACTGACTAAATGTGAAATAAATAATACAGAAATGCTATTAAAAATAAAAGTAAAATATGTTTTTTTCTAGATGGTTTTATTCACTGTTGAATTGTGCTGAGTCGCCATTTTGAATTTTGAACTCTCTCACTTGCAGTACGACTGGGCCACAGCAGAAGTTTTCAGCGAAAACGCAGTGAAATGGAGGTTTTACACAGTAAATTTTGCCAGGCTGCTACTTTTGAGCCTAGTATACCACCATCCTGTGATGGAAATAATCAACATGCATTATGAGAGATGTAGTTTATGGTCAATGCTGGCTTTAAAGCAGCATGCACTTATTTTAAGATATTAATACAGCTTTGATTTGGACACGTGATCTCCACTTAAAAAGTTCTCACTGTATCAGTTGATCTCACTGTACATGTGTATCACAATCAAGTTTGGCTTGCCTTCAAAGTGAAATGTTTAGAAAACGTGTAAGATGTAGGTATTTTTGAGAAGTCCTGTTCACAGCTTTGGAAACGATGATGTGCTGTATGTATGAACACGGAGACGTTCCTTAAAAACATCATTCCTAAGTTTGCAGGCAGCGATGTAGAACAAGGGAGGCAGTCCATTACCTGGATCTCCTAAAACTGTGGTGCTCAAACCTTACAGCTTCTTTTGCATAAAACAACAGTGGCAGTAACTTTGGGCCACATCTGCTGCTGGCTGGAGTTATAATAAACAAGAATATGATGGCACATACAGCCTCTGCCACTGTGTTAGTGTATTATATTTTATATGTGTTATATTTTTAAAGACATATTAACCCAGCTTTGGGACACCGTCCTAAACAACAGCTTTCTTTTCACCGTAATCCCAAACAGTTGTACTAGCTCATAACTAATGAGCTCACAACACTCAAATGTCGTTACGGAGTTGACCAAACTCTAAAGTTTTGAGCTCTGTTGAGATTTATGCCACTTTAACTGAATAGGACTCAATATTTTGTGTGGAACACTCAGAAGTTTTAGGAACCATAGTGTCATGACGTTATCTCTCCCTCAGGTAAGATGAGTCAGTCATCTTGAATTTACCTTAATGTGGAGAAGTTTTGGCCAGCCTGCACTGAAAAAACAAACTTTTGGGTGTAGTAACATTTATTTATTCTTTTTGAATTTTACAAAAAAATGTCAAAATCTCTAAACCACTAGAATTTACTAAATAAACAATACGCATTATATTATATGTTACTGTACAAAAAAGTAAATGCTAATATAATTTTACCAGTAATATTGAAGTGTTTTTTCTGGACAGCACATAAAC